CTACTATAGTAAAGAATTAAATAGTACAAGGCTAGCAAAATTAAATATTATAACATATGACCTTACCTAGACTATTCTAAGGTATTCATTATTCACTATTCAATAATCACTTAATCGGGAAGACAGTACCGTAACAACGGCACGGGTATTATATTAATTAATTTATCTATAAATTTTTAATCAGAACAGTTCTCTTAAAATTGATTCTAGGAAATTACATACGGTAAAGAACTTTATTCATCTGAATTTGGCTATTGCTATGTTGATATGTATTAGTGGATTCTTAGCTGGTATGAATGCAGCTAGCCTGCCGGTAATTGCTCATTAATAGAAAGCTGATAAATAAAATAATGCCTTGTAAAAAAATTTTAAGATATTATAAGATATTAGAATACGAGTGATAAAATTTATGATAATTTGGATGCACGGCCTCTATCTGTTCTCTAAGTACGTATTACTGATACTTAAAGACCAAGCTTGCTAAAGATTGATCATGATAAGTTTAAGATCTCTTAATGATTAAATAATATTATGCGTGCAAATGATCAGCATTACTATTATTTCTAGATATGTTCAACGTATAAGATGACATTTATTACAAGAGCATCACTTGGATTTCTTGGAATTCTTGGAATTGGCTATAATGAAATAATTGTGACTTTCTTTTAATAATAGGTTACTTGCACCATCATTGCGATTACGTTGCATTTCTTCTACTTGGCTAGTTTAATGTGGATGATGATGGAAGCCATACTACTTTTGCACAAAATTTCTTCCGTACGCAAAAATATGGATCCGAACCTTCGATGGGTTTACTTTATTTTCGGCTGGGGTGCGTATAAAAGATATATCCGTAAATCGCAGTAGCTGTAATATTATTTTAAAATTGAATATTTACTGTTAGTACAGTAAATTGATTATCGATAATTATTATTAATCTATTTAATTTAAGAAAGTGTAAGAAGTAATTTCGTTTGACATTTGTATCATAGGTCATTTATTAATACAAATGCTGAGACAATTGAAGTATTTTTTATTTATGTTTGTAAATGGCTCTTAGCACCTCCAGCTATTGTAGTATCTGTGTCCGCATCTACTGGGATTGATGCCTATCGTAATCGAGATTAGTAAGTTTTTAGCATGAATAAACGATGATCGTGTACTCATATATCTGTTAACATGTAATTAATTGAACATCGCTTTTGACAGTTGCTGGATTCGAAATGCTACTACTCAAATGTGGTTCTTTGTAGGTCCAATTATTTTTATAGTTGCGGTGAGATAATGAAGATAGTCATATTTCATGCAAGGCTTGAAATATCAGTAAAATGTATCTTATCAACAGGCTAACCAATATTTAATATTTACTTCGTACAGTATTTGCAAATTTAAAGTATTATCAATTTGTCTTTGATCTACAATTAATCAGTTTTAGCTATATAGTTTGTGACATAGTCTACGCTAGCATTAGGCTAAATTTCAATAGTTTTTATCTTCACCGGATATTTTAGTGGAACGTGGTGGTAGTAGTTGCCGCTATTAGGTCACTTTTCTCTATTAAGGCTATGGTCCGAAAGTCCGAAATTCAAAAATTCAAGTATGATAAAGAATTCATCCCTCCTGAATTTAATTGCTAAGATGTTAACTGTGATGGAGGGTTCAATATCTCAGAGGATTGAGATTTAGTCGCCATTTACAATTATTACAACAAGGGTTTATAAAAGTTATGCTTTATTGTAGGTTAGTAATGTGAAGTACAGTGAGGTAGTTACGGTAGATCAGCGTGCAAGCTGTCGTGAGTAACGAGTAGAAGTATTAGACTGTGAGAGACTAACTAGAAGACTAACTGAGAGGCTAACGAACTCTGAGGTAGAAATCGCCGGTATTTATAGTTTTAAAGATAGAGCACATGCAGAGAATAGGATTGTGGAATTAGATACAACATATACCATAACAGGTTACAAAATAGCAGATGATTGTAGAAAACAGCGAGTACCGTAATAACTAAATACAGTAGTCTATATATGAATGTAGAGTAAGCGGACTGTAGATCTGTCTAAATATAAGAGCAATACAACATGTCTATATTTTTGAGGAGAATATAGTTACAGTATATTCTAAATACACTACATTAACATAATCATATACATTAGAACCGTAAAACGTAGCTGTAAAAAGTGTAAATTTGACCTTATTAAAAATTAAAGGCGCAAGTATTCCCTAATAGTTGTATAACAACAAGTAATATGATAGTCTAATCAGGGTATTTTCAACGATTTCGCGTAGGGTCGGAATAAAAGCTGTAACTTCCTTGGTCTTTCTCTTTGGTATATCTTGGATATTTGGTATCTTGTATTATGCTACGAACCATATTGTCTTGGCTTACTTGTTTACAATATTAAACTGTCCACAGGTATGCTTTTAGCCTGTTTAGCACTCATAATCTTATTTTTTGTTAGCTTTCTGTTAACTTTCCGTACACCCCAAGTATTGGTCCTCTTTATTTAACGCTATTAATGATTTTGTTATTTTCTTTGGTGTAAAGGGATTGTTGATCTTTTACTTTCACTGCTTTCGAGATCGCGAGGTAAGTTATTGATCATGCTTTCTAATCTCTTTTATGTACACATAAATTATAATTGTAAACGTATAGTAAAGTGGGAAATCTTCCAGCGATAAAGTAAAGCTTGTCAAGTTACTTACTAAATATCGATAAAATACTAAGAGCAGTTATACAGGTCATAATATTAAAATAGCAGTAAATGATGAGAATTGATAGCAGCAACGTTGCTTTACATTATGACTTATTCGATTACTATTAGATAAAAGATTATATGCGGAAGAAGTTCAAACTTAGTTCCATGATTTTTCCAATGCGCTCCAATGTCGATTGTAGCAGAAATATTCGGGTATGACTTGTTACTAATTTTTAATGTCTTAAGATAAGCCGGTTCTGTACTACTATATAGCTTAGCTTTGGGATGAAATTAGATTGCTTAGATTCTTAACTAGCGAATACGACACTAAATTAGAATAAATAAAATCTACTTTATCGTATTTATCTTTCATTTATCGAACTCTAACATACGTATTAATCTATTTGCGACGTTTTAACTTAGCTCGGAAACACGCGTTTCAGCCATACTACTAAAATATCAGTGCGTCCAATTTCTCCAGACAATGCATCTTACGAATGCAAGAATATTGGAGGATTTCCATTCAGTCAAAATAAGACTGCAGGTATCAGACTCAAATACAATTGTTCATTTATTCATTTAGCAATTATCGGTTTATAATAATCACATTTTTAAGACTACAGCAAATATTAGCTTATCCATACTACTGATAATTAGTTAAGAAATATTTATTAGTTTCATAATTCGTAAGTATTCATTTTAAATAATTTTCTAAAATTAATCTTCTGATTCTTATTGCTGTATTGATAGCTGTAGAATTTGTAAGAAAGGATTCATCGAACAGGTGAGAAAAACTAGGACAAACATATTTTTTATATTACATATTTCAGTCAAATGACGACATAGAATGCTATTCTTATATGTGGTATTTTAAAGTAGACATTATTGATTACGAAGATGGTTATCTCATGGATTAAGAGGTATAATTAATGTCTTGAATTATGATTTAATTTTTTTCCATTTAGTGCTACTACCTTGCTTTCGGCGTGCGATAATCCTGCCTTGTCAGTTAACAATATGGCAGATGCTGTTAGTCATCTTTAATTAGGCATATTGGAATGACCTTTGAAGCTATTTTACACTACAATATGCAATTAATACTGTCTTCTGAGATGTAAATTATAGAAAAGAAATTTCACTCGCAATAATTATCTTTCATAGTATTGGCAAATAGAATATATAAGCTACGAAACATAGCCTATTAGGATGCAGCAGTCTGTGTCCATACTAATTCTATTTATTAATGCTGCGAGATTTAGTCAACTACCATGTTATTATCAATCAATTGTAAAGCCAGAGTCCATACGATATTGTCTACTGCACTACAGTAATTTTTTCCTATATGCTCCTTAATACTCATGCAATTTATAAGGTTTATTATTTGATGTACTAAGTCATATTATAGAATATAGAATATTATTTATAGCAATTTTCTTCTTCTAGATTTTATTGTATTGATAAAATTTGTAACGCTTAGTATGCTATTTAAAATTAAAAATAGATGATCATAACACACAAACAATTTTCTACGTCAATTGCTCTGTGTAATGTTTGTTGTTAAAATTATCGATGATCTCGTAGATATAATCTTAATGTATTATGTTAAACTAATATCATTCCTAGAAAATAGTGGTTTATAATTATTATAAGCTCTATAATCAATTGTACCAGAGGGCTAACACCTGCAGGGCTTAAATCTATATTGCTCATAAAGTATCATAGTATGCAATACCAAGTAGCCATATATCTTATAAATTGCTTCATTCAGTTGCTCAGTTATGCAAGACAGTATTTAATGCCTTCGTTATGCCACTCTGAAATTCCATGTGATGTGATGAAATTGTTATCAAAATATGATCGATTCTCTGTAATTTCTTAGCGATTATTTCAATTCTAAATACCGTAAAGGAAAAGATTTTATCTGTCAGCTGTCTTAATTAAGAGTTGAACTTCAGTAGGTTAAGATACAATATTGTATCTTATGCAGTGCATGCAAATAAAAAAGTCAAAATTTTAGCTATCGGACTTCCGATAATGTACGATGAGTTATTCAGTATTTTGAATAGGTGCTTTAGAAAGGGCACTGTCAACCCTAATGACTGTTAATAGTGCGAAATGAATATATTAAAGCTATGAATTAATCGGCATTTAATCTAAGAGGGAAGGTTAGGCATGTTTACGCAGTTAAATTGTCATCGGCGTTGCTTAGACTTTATGCTGTATACTAGACATATTTAAAGTTTAAAAAGTGCCGGTTAGATATTAGATAGGCTAATCTTAAAATCTCATTATATCAACTATACCCGTAAATTGAATGTATTATGGGTATTTAGGTTGGAAAGACTGCTACTTAATTTTATTCACTTTGGTTTCTATAGCCATAAATCATTGGTTCTGTAATAGAATATTTAATAGATAAGTGAAACAATGTTTATAAGTACAGTAAATACTGGTAATGAAAATGTTTCATTAATGGCGATTACATTTGCTGTTGTCATATTATTACCACACATTTTCCATTTCGTGATATCTTAAGCAATGCAAGTCCTCGATTTAATCGGTGATTAGCTTTCTTTCAATATGATGTACTACCGGCACTTAAATAATAATATGAAATTGTGTTTTTAATTATATATATTATAATTTCAGTACCGGTACTCTTTCACTAATATTGGACAGTTTCGATTTTATGACCTTGTCAGTGTACGAACTACCGTAAAGAAATGGCTATCTTAATTTGGTTAATATAATATAGTGATAATATATTACAACTAGTTACTTACAATAGGAATTACTCTAATTATAGATGTGTTACAGTAAATTTAATGCTGTGCTGTAATGTGCACTGAAATGATTCTGTAAAAGGACATATTGTAGTCCGACTGTGAAAAATTAGTTAGTAGATGTTCTCACCTAAGTATTTTATAATATGACTCGTGAATGTTAGCTGGTGTAGAAGGGTATATAAGCCCGTTAGATAGTTGAATAAAGTAGCTATCAATTGTCTAGTTGAGTTTAATGTAGAATCTAAGGCGTCTAAATTCTTGTGAGTAGGGATACTGAATCCCGGAGACTATAGTAATTTAGAGATTTGTTTTAAGTTATCCTTGTTACGAAGCTGGTTTGTGACAGACCTCTTATAGTATAATATAATATGAGGTTAGCACGTAATGAAAGGGTTCTTAAGGTACGTTCACACGATGAACTTTTTCCAGGACTACCATAAGGACTCCAGTCAAATCCTATATTTTTGTCTTCGTCAAGGACAGTCGAAGACAGGGGTAAATGACTTGATATTTAAGCAGTCGGGTTTGCTTCATCATTTCCATTTCATTCGCTCTTAGAGCACAGCAATTTTATGCTATATAGATGTAGTAATTTGCAACTCAGTTGCATGACTAGCTATTTGAAGAAACTGCTACTTTAACAAACAGAAAAATAGCACCAGGAAATTGAAATAGAGTATAAGAGAATTAAGTGATTAAGGTTACTTTTTATAATCTTTACATTACGCAGGATTTATTAGCTTCAAAGGACATACATCAAAAAGCAGTCATAGTAAAACAATGAAGCAAGATTTATTTTTTTATAATTACAGCTTGTGAGATAGCGCTATACCTTGATCATTTTATCTCGAAATTAAGGTCGCTATAGAGGCTGATAGCACTGAAATAGTGCTGTAATATCACGTTCTTAAGAAATGATTATTTACGGTAGAGGAACGTTTTTTATGAAAATAAATCCCATCGATACTTAATAAATACATAGTGACATACATCTGAAATTTTGTAATATTGCTATACTTGTGGACGAACTTAAATTAAATCAGTAACTCGTTAAACAACTATTTGGTTTATTATTGGCTTTCTAAATTTTAAAAATTTTATTCAAGTTTTCCGATATTACATGGCTCATTGCAGTCTACATTGACTTAACTTTTACAGTTTAGGTTACCTTACGGACGGCAAATATGTTAAGTTTACAAGTAGACCTAATTTTTCAATTCAATTATCAATAGCAATAGTTAAAAATAATATGTAAATATCACGTAGGAAATAAAGTTACTTGAGGACAGTTTATAGCTTAAAAAATTTAGATTATAGTGTTGCTATGATTGCAATTATGGAATTCTCCAGCTACCCTCCACAACCATGGGTGGGTTTTAACTAGAATTTGCAATTCTCAAATTCAAAATTAGAGTTCTTGAAATGAAGCAAATATTTAATGTATCACACAACGTTCAAAAAATGTAATAAAAGTGTCTCACTATACCTGCTTTTGCCAAATGGAATTTTTAAAAGGCTTTATTACAAGGTTTTAAGAATATAGAGCAATAAATTAATTACTACAAGAACCTAGTCCAAAATCTAAAATATTCCGAACTCAAATTGAAGAGAAGTCTTTAATGTGAGCTCATCTCCACAGTTCTTAAATACATTGCGTTAAATCCATTTATAACAACATAATTAACTACAATCAGATTTGAGTCATCAAACAGAATACTTTTCCTCAAATAGAACATCATTATCTTCTATAATCCGAATCATTCCACTTAAGATAAGCTACTCTTCTGTTAATGTCCAAAACCTATCGGTGTTGGGCATCTTTATAATTACAGCATATATCATGTCACATGAATTTTGTACCATAATTAGTTAACTAACTAATATTAGTTATCAACTATTTCTAATATAGTAGTTAGCAATCATCTAATATTAATATTACGATAACATCTATTCTTAGTAACCTAAGTTTACCAAATATAGCTATCATTATAATCAAACATGGCATGTATCACTACATTGGTCACCTCTATAATTTTTATATCCTTGAAAATTATAACATCAATCAAACTAACACTCGTTAACGGCTTCAGTTCTAAAACTTTCATTTAACTTTGAGAGTCCGCCTGCATTTCCATGTTCTTTTCCTGGATGATATCGTATCTTCATACGGAATTGACACAGATACATGGCCCATGTCATTAGTCTTTAATTGCTATTCTTCACTTTTTATAAGCTACACTAAAGGCTTTTGTTCGGTCCGCAAGAAAAATTCTGGGTCATTCAAATAAGTGTAGAACGACTTCACAGCCTGCACAACCACCATACATTCTTTGTCTATCGTAGAATTTGTTCTTCTTGGCTTTAGAAATTTCTTGCTCATAAACAGCACAGGTCCCCCTTCTCAATCTTCATCAGTTTGACTTGCTGCTACTCATATTCCTCTCTCAGATGCGTAAGTCTGTAACACAAATTATGGCCCGAGCTGTATTAGCTGCAGTACTGGTTCTTTCCCGATTTCTTCCTTCAGTCTTTTAATACTAGTCTTCGTTTCAGGTGTTAACTGAATTTGGGGGGGGGGGTTCCTTTCTTAATTAATTCTTATACCAGTATTTTGGAGCTAACAGGAAGGAAGAAGCAAAACAATGCTGTTCACAGTTTGCGAATTCGACAGCGTTCAAGATTTTCGTAAAGGGCACATGTGGCTAACGAATCAATGGGCTAGTTCTTTTAAAAGCCATTCAAATAAGATAAACCGATTGGTCATTAATTAACTCGTCTTCATGATTAGACTTGTTAAGAAAGCTATAATGAAAGCAACACCTAAATATTTATCAAATTATTGTCTCTTCTAAAGCATGTAACATAGTAGTTCAAGATCAATTTGATCAACTGGTTAAATTATAAAATAAAATTAAAAGAAATGACTCTGGCTAAAGAATTTAACGAAAGCTATGGTATTTTTCCCAAACCTTGTCATGAAGTTAAAAATAATTAAAAAGTGCCTACAGACCTACTGACTAACAAATGTCCCTTTTTATTCTGTTCTTGCTATGCTATATTCATTTGCATGTTGTTTTCAATGGTCTAGTGAACGATCACAACTGATTAGTATACATAATGCCAGTCCGTTTGCAAGATGAAAGATTTATTGAAAGAGGATATATCAGTACGATTTCCATCATCTGTGGATAATGTTAGAGGTAATTGATAATAATTTATTATTTTTAAATAGAGTTACTAAAATATTAAATTAGTAATACTTTTTTCTAATAATGTTAGGTGCTTTAGCATAATTTTGATGCACTTAATAGTACTACTGTAGTTATGGTACTGTTACGGAGCAAAGCACCGTACTTGCTAATTAAATAGATTTTGTCAGTATTTAGCTAATGGATCATATTGGTAAGCGTAATTGAAATTAATAATATTAATGTCTAGATTGCTAGACGACAAAAGGCATAATTGTATTTGCAATTAATTAGTAGAGCCTACATACAGTAGATATTAATAATGGCGATACGTTAGCACCCGCTACGTACGTACGATTATCATGCATTTATCGTGTGATTATCGCGCATTTATCGTGTGACTATCGCGCACTTATCGTGCGATTATCGCGTATACAAATCATGTAAATCTTATATTGTCAAGTTACTATGTGTGCACCATAAATTTAGTGGAATGGTATAAAAGGACGAGCGAATGCTCAGTTCCTGAGTTCCTTATTAGATCGTGTACGAGAAGGTACTAGGCTACTCTACTAATAAAAACTATACTAATCTTTTAGAACAGTCTTATCCCTGTGTGACCGAAAGTAGTAAAGAACTACCATACAGTAGATCTCCAGGTGTAGTGGAGCAAGGCATAAGTAATCTATTAGTTTATTGTAGTAGTTCGCAACATAAGTTTGTGACAGGTACCTATACTATACGGATTGAATATAATATTAGAAATCCCATTGAATTACTAGCTTAGTTGAGGCTCCTATTTGCTAATCGTCTAGCTATGCACATTACTATAACTCTCGATGATATAAATAAGTAGTAACTAATATTCGAAGCTAACTGAAATTGTGTATAGACCTTTAACAATACATGCCTTGATATAATATAAATTTTCTTTAAAATAGAATATTTTAAAATCTTCTTAGGCAATAAAGGCAGTGAAGATCATTTAATAAGCATCGTAAACAATTTTAACTGAATTATTATATTTCTTGATATATATATGTGATATATACCAATCACGAAATTCCAAATTTTAGAAAAATAAGGGCTTTATTGAATCTTATACAAAGATTAACTACACACAGCTCTACTTTAGCCGAATACTACTACTAAAGACTTCTAGAACCAACTAACAGAATAATCTAAAGTTGCATGCTTTTATACTTTCCGTAGCATTCGCTGCTACAATCCGCATGGCAACCTTTTACCTTATTTTACACATAGTTAAACTATTCTTAGAAAGACTATTCTACTGCGGACCATCATTAATCCAATACGGATACGACTACAGTACTTACGTAGACATTATTCACCTCAGCCAAAGTACAATGAATTAACCATATCCTAATAAATGATTTACAGTTCTATTTTTACCTATAGCCATATTAGTAACTCAACAGCTTACTGTATATAGTCATCTGTACTCTAGCATAGAGTCTCTACCACTACAGTCTATAGTTACAGCTACCAAATATCTCTTAGGATAAATATCTACCGTACATTATACTACGCATGGCTAACAGTCTACAATCACAATACTAAGTTACATTACAAGATAGTATTGGGATCGACAGTAAGATACATTTCAGTTTCTGATGTAGTATATTTATAATGTAAATCGTTAATTAATGATTAGTTATTAAGAAGTTTGATTTATTCGAGGTATTAGAAGACTGTATACTGTATATTCTATTTTGTAAATTTACGATGTTGATCATCGAAATCAGGTTGCATATTTTTTGAATCAATTCTCCTATACGTACGCAATGATATTGTAGTATATATTCCTAGTTATTTGTTAATTCGTGAATTAGCATTGATTAAGGAAAAGTATTCGTACGTTTAAAGAACTAGCGAAAAAATCTGTAAACCATAAATGCAAAAAAGCTTAATAAACGTTATCCTATTAAATAAGCAGCGGATGGAAACTAGAGTATTCTTTAGAAACAACTTAAATCAAGAGTTATCCATGAAGATTCGTACTAGAAGAAAGTTTATTAATTATCACCTAAGCATTCTATTTATAAATCAATACCAGAACTTATTATTTAGAAATCGGATCGCATTATTTCTTAAACATCATGCTGTAATTTCATCTATAATTAATAGAACCTAATAATGTTAGTGCACAGTATTAATTTGATGTAAAAGACAGTTACACTCTAGAGATGTCTTCTAGACTAGTTATTCATAATTTCTTCCCAAGGCAGAAAGCTTATCTTAATCTATCGATGATACTGTCATTAATTCATTTTTAATAGCTAAATCTGCTAATTAACATAGCACTGCTACAATTCAGTAGATAGAACAAGAAAAATACAAGTTAACCTAAGATTTAAATTCAAGTTTAGAACTAAAGTCATTAATATCAGTTATCTTTCTTTCAAGAAAAATTCTGGTTGTATGGAAAACTTCTATGCATAAACATGTTATTATTGCTATCTCTATCTCTTCATTCAGCCTTCATCACCCTAGTAAACGCATAAACAAATTTAATTGTTGCTGTGCGGATTGTAACTGCAAATGTTACGAAGAGCATTTAAGTAGGCAATTTTTGATTATTCAGTAATTATGTCTAGAAGTCTTTCTAGTAGTTGTATTCGGCTAGAGTAGAGTTGTGTGTAGATTATGTTGTATAAAGATCTGAAGAAGTTCTTATTTTCTAGCAATTTTGTAATTTCGTGATCGGTTATACCACAATTCAATGCGGTACTCCAGTATTTATATCTACATCTCAATTGGAATCATATCAGTACATATAATAGATTATCGTATCGGATATTCCGCACAGATGCATCACCACTTAAAGAAAAGAAAAAAATTAATGCAATGCGTCATTCTTTGAAACAATTTCTGAAATTACTTGCACAATTGTATCAATGTTATATCAGGTGTTCAAGAATGATCATAAAGTAATGATGTTGTTGCATTGATGCTCAAAATCAATTACTTAATTACAGATTACAGTAAACAATATTTACATCTAACATGGCAATGCTCTCGGTTGCTATACTGCCTAAAAATATATTTTTATCAAACAGTTTTCTTCTTTATTCTTGGTCTGACGTATACTCCAGATGTTGTTTTATTGTTGATGATGCCCAAATTCAGTGGACTTATTACTATAAGTAAATATTGCAAATTATTTAACTCATGATAGTGCTAAGAGAATTAAAAGTAGAATATTTTAGGTGTTCAGTATATCATATATAGTTTAGATAGCACGTAGATGTGAACAAATAGTATTGAATTAATACAGTATATCGTTAATATCTCTTATTACCAAGTTGCTGCAATAATGATCTCCCTTCGCTCTAGCCGAATAAATCGAATATTATTTATTTTGGTAATTTTGACATTTTTAATATTTTACTTTATATTATTTAAGGTTTATGGTAATAATGGCGAATACTTCGGATACGGCTAGTAAATTATTTCGCGTTCTCTTTACTAATTAATTTTATTCCGATATTCTATGCTTTAAATGAAGCACTATTTACCTCAGTTAAGATTAAAGTATTTTATTTCAAGTCCATATCCACTTTTAGACTCATACTTATATTCTTACGTTTCTATAGCAATATATATATATATGAGCGTATACAATTTAACTACTATTACACGCGTAATTGCTTATTTTGCAAATATTAAAGGTTATAGCTAAGAACCCAACTAAAATCTGATCATATCAAGTTGGCTATTGTGTAATTTTGAATATTCTGAAGCAGTGATATGAGTTTTAGTTGTAGGTATTCTATTAGCAATGTCTTTTTGCCACAGCCCATCGTTGTAATAGAAAGAACTTCTTATCATTGAAACACAGAATCAAAGTCTTGGCTACGACAAGACTCGTATAGTTTTAGTAAATTTTTATTAAACGAAAAGATCCGAGTTAAATAGGAAATATAGTCAACAAAAACATATTATTTTCACTATCACTATTCCTAACTTGGGATTTATAATACTAGTAAATATACAAATAGGTTTTCCTACATTATCTTACTCTTTATACTTCCCTTGTTTAAAGTAATGTTCTGAAGTCGCAGCACCAGACAAGTAAGTTACAGACGTACACATTATCAAACATACTCATGATAGTTTCTACTAAATTTTACAATAATAAGCTACATAACAACTACATGTGGACTTTCTAAGTATATAAATGCCCTGGGACATACCTCTACTCAAGTAGATAATGGTTGATAAATTATAAGATTTATGCTTTACGATACTGATAGCATTGTAACATTTTTAAATTTTCGAAGCTAATAATTAAAAATTTCTCATAGTTTATAGCTAATTCGCTTTTTATCTAGTTTTATGTAATCTTACCCTATAATAATTCCATGATATACCTAATAAATTATTCATTTTACTTTAAAGCCATACTATTTTCTGATCGATAGATTATGACCTCAAATTTGACCGCTATGCAAATATTTAGCGCTACGATAATTCTACAATATCTGTTTCATCAATTTATTGAGTCTCTTCGCTGTATTGATGCCGCAATTTCAACTCTACGATAAGGTAATGTACAGTAAAAGCCCATAAGTAGCTACTGACTAGAACGCCCTTTTACTTAACCTTAAACACATACAGCAAAATACAGCGAAGATAAAACTTATATTAGCAAAGATACATCTACAAATTTTCACCATACAACTCAACTCAAATGTTCCCGTTTGTATAGAAACCGTCTAATTTGTAAATAACAACAGCATTATTATTATTACTTGGAGAAACATCTTAAACTGAGAAGTTCCTTACGTAGCTTTTTATCAGTAAATATTTTGAATGCCTTACTCATACATAATCTTAATCTAAGCATGTAGGTTGTCTAATTCAACTATCATCAACTAAAACTTGAATCATTTTACTACGTCTATCACACAATAACAATCTTTATCAAATCTGTAATGAACTATCACAAATAACATCCACGTTTAGTCGTTACTTATCTTGCCTAGCACTACAAATATGGATACTTTCTATATTGGCTACTACTGTACTTATTAAACTATCTTAACGGCAAGGCAACACCGTAATAATTAAATATTTAGAATTATAATTATGATGGAATAAATTGCCGCAAAAGCCTAAAATTGTACGGCGTGATTAATAAATTTCTGCTACTTTCTATTATGTGAATTGATTTTATTATCTTAATTTACTTAGGTCTTTTGCATCATCGTGATGACAGTAAATGCTCAAGGTTAGTTAAGTTGGCATTGCTCAATATAAGATCTAAGTAATTATATATCGGATTTATTACAGAAATATACTAATAGATTAAATTTCTGAGTACTTGATTAGTTTATTCTTGAATGATTTGCTTTCTTGATGTAAGGAAACCATAGCTAATGATTACATATATTAATTGTAAAGACAACTACAATTATTAGAAAAACAGATTTATTATACTAGCAAGAAAGAATTAATGAAGTAGATATTAGCTTTAAACAATGTTGGTGAGGAAAAATAACTCTTGCATATATAACAATGAAAGTTTGTTTGTTTGCCCGTGATAGAAATGAAGGTTAAGCGATGTACATAGTGCTAAGGACTAAGTACTTCTAGAAAGAACTTCTAGAATAATCTAAGTTGCCAGCTTATATACTTTTCGTAACATTCGCAGTTACAATCAGCATCGCATATTCTACCATATTTTACATTTATTCAGATTAATATTAGTAGCAGTATTTTACAACGGCCCTTCATTAATCCAATACAAAAACTACTACAGTACTTACGTAGACACTATTTGTATCAGTCAGAGTACGATGAACTGAACAAGTTTTAATATATAAATTATAGTTTTATTTTTACCTCTAACCTTTATAGTTACTCGATAAGCTACTGTACAGTATATACCCATCGATACTGCAGCATAGAATTTTCCACTACAGTTTATGCTTATGATCTACTAAATATATCTTAAGATAAATATAGAAAGTTACGCTATCGTAAATCATACTAATCATGGCTAAGAATCTATAATCCCATACTAAGTTACGTTATAGCAAGTCTGATTACTGAAAATGATGCCCTGATATACTATAGAAAATACTCAAAATAACCTTGGCTGTAGGATAATACAGACAAAGTAAGGTTACAATAGCGATAATTATGACATAACTAGGGTAGTAAGTTAAAAATTAGCATAAGTGTAGTTTAAGAGGGAGTGAGATCAATCCATAGTAGTAATAATATCGGTAAATATTGAGCTCAATTAGCTTTTGATAAATTTCTAAATATGTATCTCTTTTCGGTAAATCTTATCCTCCAAGACTTAGTTATATTTTTGTTATAGAGTCTTCTTGTATGATGAGATTGATGAAAATGAAGCTAATCTTTAGTAACACAGTAACTTTATTCGACATTCTAAGATTTGGGTAACCTTTAGTTTAAAATTGAAAAGAGTAATTTTCTGCGCTTATCTAGACAATGCGGTCGTACTACACTTTCTGTAATCAAGTGACTGATCCTAACTTTCTAGACGTAACTTTATTGTTAATATGTTTAAAATGCAGTAGAATACGAAATTTTAAATTTTAGCTAATTATCAAATCTGTTATGAACAGAAGAATGTGCTGATGGATGGACAGGAATAGCTGATGGTTGTTTTAAGGGTTTTTCAACTATTAAATCTTTTGATAATGCCCGGACTGCTTGTCAAGTATTTCCTGGTGGTGACTTAGCAGTTGACAATACCCCTACAATTCATGGAAACCTAGATGAAATTCTAGAATCTGTAGCAAATTACTGGATAGGGTTAAAAGATAGATCGGGATACAATGTCATCAGCGATTATTACTGGATGGCAACTGGTCGAAGTGTTACAACTGGTTCACAGTTTTGGAAGACTAATTATCCAATGAATGCTAGCAATAGATGTGTTCATATTGTCAAGCTTGATTCATCAAATTTTTACTGGCGTGATGATGACTGTGCTACTGATCTTAAATACATTTGTCAAAGACCAATTAGCGTATCTTCTTCCACTTCTTCAAGTATTACCTGCACAAGTTCAGCAACGTCAACTGTTTCTACTAGCCAACTAAATTCCCTTGTGGAGATGTCAACTTCAATCAGCGAAAATATTATTTTAACAACAACTGCTAATGGTCAGTTAGATCTATCCACTTCTATAACTGTGCGATGGGATACTGAAAATAATGGCATAAATTTACTATCATCATCATTGACTACCTTATCCACCAATACTAGAATCCTAAGCGACAGTACTTCCAGTGAATTAGAATTATTGACTTCAGCTAAGTATGTAAATGGGTCTCCATCATTGTCCTCTTTGGCTGTTGATAGTAATATCGAGACCGTTTCAACAGCAGAAACGATAGTTAGTACTGAAGAAAGTTTAGTAGTCCGAGATGATAATTCAACTTCATCTAGTTTATTACTTAGTAGCAGCTATAGTAGTAATGATGAAGAAAGTTCAGTAGTCCGAGATGATCATTCAACTTCATCTAGCTTATTACTGAGTAACAGCTATACTAGTAATTCGACTTTCACGACTACAGGTGGATCACAGTTACTACCATCTAGTAATTTAAATTTGATTATTACTTCAAGCAAGAACGAGGATCCATCAATATCATCCGTTTCTGTCGCTGATAATGAAGTGAATATTTTCTTAATAACAAATAAGATAGCTAGTGATAGAGAAAGCTCTACTAGCCAGAACCATTATTCGTCTTTGTCGTCTAATTTATTAGTCAATATTGGCATGATAGCAAGTAGCGAAACGCAATTTCTACCAACTGCTATTTTTAATTCCATCTATAATTCAAGTAAGTGTGAAAATATCTATCTACATTATTTATTGTCCATATCAATAATACTCTAAAATATTATCTCAACAGCAAGCGTGATAGTGGGTGAAGACAGTACCAACATCTATAATCAGCTTTCATCCTCTAGCTTCTTGGTTAATGTTGATTTTGATAGTAACAAAATTGCAACCATGTCTAGCACCTCGCAAGTGATTGCTACCACTACATTAGATTTTGATGCTAATTCAAAAGCGTACGAGGATTCATTAGCCTTGTCCACTATCTCGTCGAGTATTATGGATAAAACTTCTAAAATGACTTCGGTAACAAGTGTGATTGTTGTAAGTGATGACGAAAGTTTCCATGATCAATCAGTCTTAAGTAATTTACGGACCAATAATAATTCTGGTATGAGTATCATCATGCCTGCGAGTACAACGAGTCAAGTACAATTGAAGGCTTCCGATACTTGCTACTTTCATATCAGCTCTAGTGCCTTTGAAAATCATTTTCCTTCAACAAGTAAATTTGTGCACTTTCGCTTTTTATGTACTTCATTTCAAGCTTGTTGATAATTTAAGATCATTGGATGCTCTAATAGATAATTTCAGTGCCAATGATATCTCTATTGGAAGTGCAAGTGTGTGCGATACAGAGCGTACAACTATCCATCATCAACATTTATCCGATTTGTTGAAATCTGACAGTTCGAGTATCGTTTCCACCACTACAGCTATTACCGGTAATAAATCATCATTGATTTCAGTCCTCTTTACGTCTCTAATTTAAAGAGCAGTTATGACTATACTGTTTCTACAACATCGTGCGGTGTAATTTTAATTGGTCCTAATATCTTATGATCTTTATCCTTTCACTATTTCATTAATACTACATTATTATTATTACGATAGCAACCGCAAGTACTCTACTGTATCAGCCTTCGTCCTTGGATAGCGAAAGCCATATTGCACCTGATGTCGAGAATAATGAAATGGTTAATGATAATCATAAGATTTCTTATGCATACTGTCGGCAATTAAACGACGGGCTGCTGAGCTAGTATCTTTAAAATTAAAACACCGTATAGTAACTGTAAAACTTTTAGCAAGCTTACTGACTAGATGGTTACTGTAGTATTTTCAGCAAAATTTAAGCAGTTGTGTAACTTGAAAGTACGGTGTGTTTAAAAAGTTTCCATATAAGTAAAATTAAAAAAGATGTGATTTAAACCGACGTATGAGTAGAGTACTTTCTACAACTTTTAGTATAAGAATAATACATACATTTACTGTCATTAAAACATGTAGAGACCTGGTAAACACACTATATGATGGTAATATATAGTAGAGCAGTAAAGTATGTGGCGTAAAATAGTCGGCTGTCCACTATTTTCTTTAAAATTGAAATACCGTATATTGGCTGTTAGGGGTAACCTGATACAGTACCGTACCTTATATCTAATAAAGTTAGTAGTCATTACATTCAAACAAAGATTAACATACTAAGCAGTATTAGATTCTTAAATCTTCCTAGTGCCATCTGACAATAATATTTACATATGTATGTTGCAATATAGGGGTATGATAGAATGGTATTAACCAAGAATGAATATTCAATTTCGCTGTATAAGTTAAAATACCCACACTTTTACTGATTATATAGATTACGAAGATACAACTTGCTAACAGTCAATTTATGGCAAGTATCAGAAATGAAGTTGAAAAGGTTTGCAAAATAGGGATGTCTATTAGAATATCATAGTAGTAAAGTTTCATACCTTGATGTTTCATTCAAAATGAATGAAACATCAATGAAATTGTCTTTGTAAAGACCAATTTCATTACACTAGAAGAGATAAAATCATAATTTATTTGGATCGTATATGATACTTTTAACTGATTGAGATAGGATAATTAGAACTAGCAACAATAAATATTTGACCAGATCAGTCACATCTATATTCCTTTCTATAGAATAAAAATACTGTTTTCAAGCGAATCGATAAATTTGATGCAAATTTGGCAAGAGAAATTCATCAAGCTAACATTACTACGCGATTTACTTTCGCTACACCTCAATCGGGTATTTACTGAAGATAACTAGTGTTAAAATTGTTATAGCGTATTGTAATTTTAAATGTATATCATTAGGTTTCTTAAAAGTTCGTAATATTAACGCTTTCATATGTAGTATTGCTACGATTAAGTTACTATTTCAAAAATGGAATCGTACTTGTGAGATCGTTATTGCTGATATACTGAATTTATATAAAGTAAACTATTATGATCAAGTTAGTAAGATCACTTTAACTAACTAATTTTTATTTCTTGTGATTTATCCCACTGCCCACTGGTGGCTTTCATCTTATGAAAAGAATTAATCATTCAAGGAATTTCATTATCAGATACCAAGCCAACCATTAATTTAGCATTATCATTATCCGACGAGCCTGTAGTCGGAGTAGAGATTCCCCGTTCGGCTTTCCAATTTTCTGATCAGGGTACTTGATGCGTATCGTATTTTTAGTGATATCCTTATTTTAGTCGTAATCTGATCTATAGTACCTGTGTTGATAAAACTCGGAAGTAATATTGAAATTAGTTTTCTCTGAACAGACGATATTTTTAGGTTATTTCATAGTATAATTTTAAATATACTGTATATCCAATTTTACGAAACTACTGGATGAACAAATTGTAATCATACATGTAACTTTATTGTCCTGCCAAACTTGATAATAGTCCGCTTGCTTATAATTTTATAAATACCATTTAGACGATTCTGTCACGGTGGTAGTGAGATCGTATAATGTAGGCACAAGTTGGGCAAAAAACAATACTCATGAAAGCAATAACGACAGGTATAGGTTTAAATTTACACAATCATATGACATAAAACTGACTACGGTACTCATTGAGGTTTCAAATTCTTTCACTTCATTAATAGTGCAGATATTTTTAAGTAGTGTTACTTAAATTTTCTCTAGTGTCATCATTTCCACTTTCTTGTCTTGTTCCGTGTATCCACTGCAAGCTGATAAATTTGCATTACCTGTTCATTTCTACTTTAAGCTACAAAATCAGCAGGTCAGTTTAGTTTGATCATATTAATTTATTGATTATTTTTTATTTTGACTAAAAACTAATACAATTACGGTTGCTATTCTATTAGGCCAATCCACCTTATCAATGCACATATTGGGAGAAGAAGTAAGTTAACTTAACTGCCATACTAATACAAATGTAACACTAAAACATGTAAATGTAGCTCAAAAGAGAAAGATCAAACATTAGTCTACCACGATTGAAAAGGATAAAGTATCTTTATTTTGTGATTATAATATTACTCCAAACTTTAAATAAAATTTAACATGCAAAGGTGTATTATCGTAAGATTTTGTCTTACTAATCGTAACGACGCTCATACTTCATTATGTACGCGCATAATCATGATAAAGTCATTGGTCAGAATTCGGAATGGAATTATTGGAATACAATTCGACTCAAGTACACTGCACGACAGTCCATTTTACAAATTTTGCGGTCCTTATGCAACGTTCTAAGGTAAGAAGAAATGAAGTTAAGGGTTTTGATGAATTAAGCGTAGTTTAAAGACAATGTCGATGTGTAATTATTTATAGGCAATGACATAATAGATGGCAATAATAGTTTTAGAAAACAGCAAATTACTCATCTTTTTACTATAGATTTTATGCTTAACGGAGAATTTGTTTATTAAACATACCGTAAGCTGCAATCTGCTTAGGCAGTACTTTATCCATTGTTTTACTAGTTAATACCGTTTTCAAACTACACATTTTCTTGAACGCAAGATAGTTTTCTCTATTGCGTAGTTTATATCACTTCAGAAAGCACAAATTACTGTAGACTTAAGTTCAATTTACTTCCAGCAGATGCTATAGTTAATTTAGAAGATTTTGAATGTAATCATAAACTATCTTACCTTACTGAATTCGATGTTACATCAACTGATAATAATCGACTACCGTTTTAGGCGCTTGCCAGGCCATACAAAATATCCCTCCGTTGGATCACTTACATAGGCTGCAGCATTTCCCTACTTGCTCTGCTTATCATGATAACTATATTCATTAGCATCAGGTTAGTAAGATTTCTGTAAAATACGATATAAAATAATTCAAGACAGTGCAAGGCCAATTTTTAGCTTTAATAAAGGCCGACGAGAAATTATTTTTAATTTTTATTTTAAATTCTCAGCGATGCATGACTGTAACACAATAATATGCTACTAATAATAAAAGAATAGATAAAGGATGAGAACAGTAATGTATTAGTCAACAATAATTTATTAATAATATGCAGTAGCGATCAAGCTACTTACATTCAGATTAAGCATACGGTAGCATTCGTTAAGGATAATTTATTTAAAAGATATCGATACTATCGATAAAATCATCTACATTGAATAAATAAGATCTGCATGTTACCCACGCTATTGATAATATAATATCCATTGAATAGAATGGTAGCAAGAAAGTTTCTAAAATCGCAAACATTTCTTGATCTGCAGTACTGTAAATTCAATGGATATCGATACTATCTTAATAATAATGTCTTCATTAATATTTTCAAACAGAAAACTAGATCCAGTAAAGAGCTTCGTTCATCTGAATTTAGCTATCGCTATGGCGGTATCTATTTGTGGATTTTTAGTTGGTATACGTGCAGCAAAAATACCGGTAATTAATGATGACTTTTAGGCAAAAATCATCAAATATAGGCTTTCAGAAATTTTAATATTTTGATTATCAAGTGATTCGTTTACTGTATTTACCCTGCATCTGTCTTTCGAAACGTATATAGTCTATATTCTAAAGATTTAGCATGCAAACGATTCATCTCATGTCCTTAAGATCAAATTCTCGTACCACTATAATAAATGCTATTATCCCTCAGATAGTTGTAGACTTCTTGGCTACTGTTACGTCATAGTAAAAAATTAATTGCTTGAAATTTACTAGTGCAATTTAAATAATTTTACTTTTATTTCAATTTTAGTTTCTTTGTACTGCGATTGCGATTGGACTACACTTTTTCTATTTGGCTAGTTTAACGTGGATGATGATGGCAGCCTTAACGCTCTTGCAAAAAATTTCTTCTATCCGCAAAAACCTAAATCCCAACATTCGAAGGGTCTATTTTGTTTTAGGATGGGGTAGGTTAAAGTATCCGATTACTTCAGTAAGGTAACGATATCACACTTTCTTTAGTTTTAGGTATCCAGTGTACTTTAGTATGGTGTTATATAAGGACGGCTAATAGTTAATGTTCTAATATCTTATATTAATTGTCAGCGTAGTATTGCCTATTGTTAGAATTATTTAGGAGCTATTCATTCCGAAGATTGTAAAAGACCGTCCGATAACTATGCAAATATTGAATCCTAAGTAATGTTTGTCTTTTTGTTTTTCGCACAATTTTTTTCAAATGGCTCTCATATTAGCACCTCCAGTAGTAATAGTGCTTATATCAGCGCTATCTGGTTTAGATGCATATCGAAATCCAGATTAGTAAGTTATAAATACTTGATAATGTCACAATTCAGTAGTTGGAACAAGAAAACACAAGTTAACTTAAGATACAAAGTCAAGTTTTAAACTAAAGTTGTTAACAACAGTTATTTTTATTTTAAGAGAAACTCTAGTTATATAGAAAACGTCTACGCGTTAAAGATGTTTATTATTGCTATTTTTATCTCTTAATTAAGTGTTCACCAACCTAGTAAATATGTAAACAGATTTTCCTACGGTATCCCACTTTTCTAAGACTCTTGTCTAGAATAATGTTCGGCGACTATAACATTAAACATGCAATCATAATCATAATATTAAAATACTCTAATAATAGTTTTATTAAATTTAGTATCAGTGAGGTATCGGTATATCAGCAAATACATAGCGATCTTCTAAAAATATAAATGTCTTATTTAAGACCTACTTTTACTGAAGTACATTTTAAGGTCCAAAATTATAAAATTTATACTTTACAATACTAACGGTATTGTAACAGAAAACTGTGAATTTCTGTTTCTATTAAATCGATATTGATAGCAATTTATATTAACAGTTGTTGGATTAGAAGTACAAGTTTTCAAATGTGGTTTTTCGTTGGTCCAGTCATTATAATCTTTGTGGTAAGATAGCAATTACAGCTGTTATTCCAACGTAATGATCGAAATATGCACAAACTACATCTTATCTAGCAATTCAATATCAATTTGGTATCTTGCGCAATTATGACAATATCCATGACGATTTGGGTATCATTAGTGGGTTATTTATTCTTAACCTATTCCGTTCTTACCTGACTTAACACTAACTTGGCGTAAAATTTGTTTCGAATATTCTTACTAATCAGTGATGCTTTGATTTATTGTTCTAAACTGAATGCTTTAGTGCAATCTTGCCGTTTTGATTGCTGCTATCAGATCGCTTTTCTCAGTAACTGCTATGGTCCGAAAATCTGAAATTCAAAAATTAAAGTATAGCGCAAAATTACACATTCCTAATATTAATTTTCTAAGAAAATAACACTAATGCTGGATAACAGCGATATTATAGCTACGATCTAGATTTGCGACAGGAATTGTATAAAATTGATTCTCCATAGTTGTGGATTACTTATCAAGAACTGAAGTGCGCACATTTATAAATATAGAATCGGGATAAAAGCCGTGATCTCATTAGTCTTTCTTTTTGGTATATCTTGGATCTTTGGTGTCTTGTATTATGCTACAGATAATATTGCTTTTGCTTACTTGTTTACAATATTAAATTGCCCACAGGCAAGTCCTTACCTATTTTATAGTCATAAATCAAGTTTAATTTTTATCACTAAGCTTTCTGTCTATCAAAATAACCTTTACTATTGACTTAATTGGTGACTATGGTATTTTAATTTATTTTGGTATGAAGGGGCTACTAATTTTTTACTTTCACTGTTATCGAGATCGTGATGTAAGTTGTAATACCAGATCTATATCTCACATACATATAACATACCTACATAAAGTTTTAAGTGCGATATGCTAGTAGTACTATAGATGCTGGTAACATAGTATTTTATGAGGAACATTTTCAATACCGGCTATGATAATAGAATACGATAGTAGCGGTAATTTACATCTTGATTTAATAAATGACTTTCAGGTACAAGATTATTTTCGGAGAAGATTTAAATTCGGCTCTATGATTTTTCCAGCGAATTATATGGGCAACATTGGCAGAGATACGCGAGTATGATACATCATTCACATTTAATACTTATGATGGAGAATTATTCAAAAATTTTGCAATGTAGCGCAATTTTTTGATGAAATAAGGATGATAAGAAACACTAATTTTAAGTTATATCTTACTGTCTAAAACTAATTCAACATCGATTCGTAATTTATATGATCTTATCCAATCATTCAGTTACATTACTTCGGCTTATTTGTCTCTTCTTTTCAATTTTTAATTCAGGCCGATAATAAGCATTTCAGTTGGAAGGCTAAAATACCATTAGTTGCAGTTTCTACAGGGAATGCATCTCGTGAATGTAGAGACAGTGGAAGATGTTCACCCAATTTGAATGAGATGGCAGGTAATCGAAACCAGTATTTTTATTTATTCTCTTAGGACGATGATTATCCGTTTAGGCTAATCAAATTTGTAAGCTGGAATGATAATCGCATCATTTCTATTGCACTTGCTAACTGCTGTACCTTGGGAATATTTATTAACTTTATGTCTTACGAACCTCCCCTAAATCAAAATGTCAAATTACATTTTTTCTATTTGCGAAAATAATAAATAAATTAGAATTGGAATCCCGAAATAGGTTAGCTAAATGCCAGTTAACTTTTTTACTATGATGATATTATATAGTTAAGATAGATACTCTTTTATATTATCACTTAGATAAAATGTTGCTACTAGAATAGTTTCGTTATTTAGTTGTATTTGATCTATAGCGGATAACATTAATACCTCGAAATATTCTCTAGACGGGACATGTTTCTAAATGTTATTGTTTATGGCTTAAATTTTTTACTATTAGTGTTTCAACTTCGATTTTGGCTTGCGATCATTTTGTCTTGTCAACCGACCGTAAAACTGATGCTGTTAGTCATCACTAAAATAATATTTGTGATACCTAGAAATTTTATGCGGTTCAGTGCAGCACTTATCCTACTTCTTTGATACTGATTCCGGATGGAAAGTGTGAATGTCCATCACCAGATTACTATGCAGTGTTGTTGATGAATACATTATATTCCTATATGGGAGTATTCATCGGATTTGCCCAGTGTCTAGGAGTTATTTAGTAAATGCTATAGATAGATGAGGTTATAATTTGTAAGCTTCTACGCCGGATATGAGCTCGAATATTTTGAACTTGTTACAGTTATATAGTGTATTGTCGAGATTAGAGTAGAGATATCTATGTTAAATTCACAGTGATCGTAACTTACTTAGAACAGATTGTACATTATTATGGAAATGCTCCGTGATAGAACATGTTGCAATCTTACTATTTTGTATTAGTCACTTGATATCTACGTTGGTAAATACTGTGGTCTTTACTATGTAGCAGTAGATAAAATTAGCTTCTAATTTATTGAATAGCTTCAAAGTTAATCGTACTAACTAGGACTCCTGAACTATTATAAAAAGATATATAAATGCTGTATGCCGTATAATAAAATTAGCTCTCAAGATGAATATTTAACGTAAAATACGAGGTATTTAAGTCTTCGTGTTGTCTACTGGTAGGTGAAGAAGTGTTCCTGATAGTGCAGATATTATTTCCTGATACGTACTTCAGGAAATTGACTTATTGATCGTACATTACCGGGTACGTTATCTTGATGCAAAGCTGTTTATTACAGAACTATAATAAGAGTCTTTACAGAAAGTTGCCTTAGTGATCGTATTAAAATACATCTTCGGTATGGAGTTGCTAATTAATATTAATTAGTGACAAGTATTAAATTAATTATTGCTACTAGAATAGTGTCGATATTATTATTTGCATTTAGCCCATATTTGATTATATTGATGCCTCAAAAAAATTTTCTAGATAGAGCACGTTTCTAAACTTTATCATTTATGGCTTAAATTTTTCTTAGATTTAGTGTTACAATTTCGATTTCGGCATGTGATCATCTAGTCTTGTCAACCAATCGTAAAAAGGATGCTATTGGTCATCACTAAATAATACTTTCGTGATACCTAGAGATTTACGCGGTTCAGTGTAGTACTTATCCTACTTCTATGGTACTGATTCCGGATGGAGAGCATGAACGTCAATCGCCTGATTACTATCCAGTATTGTTGGTGAATATATTACATTCCTATAAGGCAGTATTTTTCCAATTTTATACAATCTAGTAGTTATCTGGTAACAGATGTAGAAAGATGATATTATGATTTATAAGCTTCTAAGCCAGATATGTACCCCAATAATCTAAATTATAATAAGAGCCATTACAGAGAGTACGTTAGCTATCGTATTAATTTATCTTCCGCACGCAGCTCGTCTATCAATTTAGGTTGTTTTAAATTTGTAAATATAATTAATTAATTTATTGATTTACTGATTAATGCAGGTCACAAATAAATATTTTAACTAGAAGTTATGGAAGTGTTTTCAAAGAGTTTGCTATTATATAGAGTAAAGCCTGCTAGTAAACAATTTGTTATCGAACATACAAGTCTTAATTGAGGCTTCATAAAGTAGATAAACACATAAATGTATGCTCTTACATAATTCTAAATTACCATCATCTCTTACCTAAATCAACTATCATGCCTGTGGCATCGAACATATAATTATTTATTATAGCAACAACTAATAATAGTTCATACTAACCTTAATATCCTTAATTAAACAACAATAATTATTTGTAAACACACTTCTAAAAACACATGTCTAACCGGCGTATAATAATTATAGAAGGTATTGTTCACCTTAAGTAATCTTATAAAGTATGATATACAGCTAGGACATTCCTTATTTTAAAAATAACTTCGTTATCGACGAATATTACTTACGGAGCCCTTTCCCTTTTATACATTAATTTAGTAAATTACTACGGTACTGCGTTACCGATTAATTGATTATTGATATTTGAGAATAATCTAGATAAGGTCATATTAGTTCTTCTAGGCTTGTACTAGTAAATTCCTTAGTAGTAAAATCGTGATATAGAACTGTTGCAAGTTAGTTTATTGAAGACTAAAAGATGTGCTAGGCTGTAATATTATAATCGAGCCGTATATGGAATTATGGACGGAGGAAGAGTGTTTCAACACCTTAACTTCCAGAATATCTACCTACTCGTATTTATTTAGTAATTATATAAATCTATTAATGTAACTTGTAAAATATGTATTTTTGCTACTTAACACCGGCGTTTATCACCCGCATATAGACTGAAAATACTGGGGAAGTAGCTCAAGTTATAATACTTGCACGAGAATTTCTTTACGAAATCTTTGTCGCCAGCGAGGGTTGTGACATAGATACGAATATTCGCACAAATCTTACCCTATACTGTCAGGAAAGGATAAGCGTACAGCTACAAAGATAGCACTGTAAAACAAACACAAGAGTCATTTTTAAATTTGCTAGCATATCTTACGACACGGATTATGCCGACATAAACTGTTCAACCTCGGTTTTTATAATCTACACTGACATATTAGGAACATGAAATCATCTAGATACGCTAGAGTTCATTAATGGTCTAAATCTTTGCATTCATAACAGTAAGAACGAGTAAGGTACCTGAAGTACAAGAAGTCAATGAGTAAAAATCTAACGTTTTAATAATAGTTTAGAGCTGAATTACATCTCGTAAATCATCATTTGATCGTAATAAATAATATAGACACTGTTAATTAATTCTTTGATAAAATGAGTACAATTGCATATAAAAGAGATTTCAGAGTTAATTAAGGCTTTACTTTGTAGTGAGCGTGAAACTTCTTTTAAGAAATAATTCTCGTGGATGTTCCATTTTTACTCGTTAAAGTTAATAGAGTGTCAGTGTAAAATTTTAAATGAGCAAGCTGTTAAGATGGAGAATGGAAAAGCGTATGGAATATGATATAGCAAGTAGTGATAAATCATGCATTCAGACATTGCTATCGCTTTAAATTATTCGTTTATTATACTGATAATATAATATATCTGCACTATCAGAATCGGGAATAAGGCGGACAATGATAGCTAAGCTGTTTCGCATATGATTTTCATCATCAAATTTGTTATCTAAACATAACAATTTATAAACATAATTATCATTATGAATAATTGATCAATATGTGTTAAAATCAGAAGATTAATCAATTGTTTCCATCATGATGAGTCATTTCAAAATCAGATTTATTATGGAACAATATTCATAATATACAACACATGTATGCTCGTTAAAATATTGCTGCTCAAAATTTCATCAGTTATCTATTTTTAATTCACAACTGAATCATTTCAAATCATTATAATCAGTTCAAAATGAAATAAAATTTTAGACTTTGAAGAAGGCTAGATCAAAATTTAAGAACTTTATTGACTATACTATAGATTTTAATCATTATGATCTATGTACTATTAGAAATAAATATTGTGATATCGATAAGGTATATCTTATATATATATACTTGTACATTTCTTTGTAATAAAATTGTGCTAGTTCATTCTCAGTAACACATTATTGAACATCTCCATAAGAAATTGATGAATACCAGTGGTATTATGGAGAGATAAAACAGAAATTCTGTCATAATCTTCTAAATAACTATTGTTACATTATATGAACTCATAGGAAACTTTTGTATTTGAAGTACATAATTAATCAAAATAATAGTATGACTGGTGATAGTTAAAATCAATCAACAATTGAAACAAAAGCAATATCATTAGGTTATCGATACATTGTAAGTTTTTAGAAACGAGGATAGAAAGTGCTATTTCGATAAGTGTCTATCGTTATTGTCTTTATATTTTTAACTGGTATTGGAACAACTTCATTTCTGTCTTGGCAAATGGACCTAGCGAACATTATTTTGGTAATTAATGATGCAAGATTTGTCTAATATGTGTCTTTTTATTTAAAGCTGACGAAGAGAGTAACTGATATCAAAGGCATGACTAGAACGAATTTGTATCTATCTACAAGTATTCTTAATTTCAATTCTAATGTATTTCTTTGCGTAGAAAGAGCCTGTAATGAGATATATTAGCAACAAATCTTTAGTATATACGCACTTACTATTGTTATCTTATGTCGTAACCGATAGTCGGTAGTTGCTTATCATAACTTAATTGAGAAAAAAGTATCATAGAAATGATAAGAAAATTATTTTATGTCCGTTTGTTTTTAAATTTTATTTTGATGTGTTAGCAAAACGAATTTTTGGCATGCATGCTTTCTCATAGCTTATTGCCCATAGTGTACCCATTTACTCTGCTAGTATCCTAGTTCACAACTAATAGGGAAAATTCATATTGATACTGATAGTAAAGAAGAATATACTGCAGATTAGAATATCATCAAATTCCAGGAACTTTTCTATTCTAATGTTTTCTAGCTCCTTGATTAGAAGGCTTTTCGTAAGTTACTATCCTTACCTTACGTGACAGTAGCCTAACAGAAAATTTTTCTTCAATTTAATGTTAGTGGCATTTAAAGTTGATAATTGATTACGTTCCAATTTAGGAATTCAATTTTTCTGCTTTCAAATCGCTAATAATTATTACACCTTGATTACTCTTACATTATTATCAGCTATGATAGAGACATTAAATTGCTGATATAAATTTAATAAGACGTCTGATAAAAATTCCAGCGAAATCACGGATACACTTGACGCACGTATTGAGGAAAATCAAAAATCGCAGTCACGCAATCTACATATTTCTCGGTTTGCGTAATCGATAATATATTTTAAGAAATAATTATAAGATTTATTCATTCAGTATCAAAATAAATGGAATTTTCCAAACCTGTTTATTGTATCTAAGTATAAAAAAGCTAATCATGACAGAATTAATGTATTAAAGCAATAACAACAAGATTGACTGTTTGATGTCTATTTTAATTTGAAGAAAATTTACAGCTACATTTTTATCTATTTTAGATTCTCTGTGTAATATTAACTCCCATGAAAGCTGAAGGTTAGTAAGACTATTGATTAAAAGATAAAATAGAAAATGAGCAAAATATAGCGCGATATGAATAAATTATAGAATTAATTAATGTATAGTATCATAAAAATATAACTACTTCAATTGTGAATAATTCATTTTCTTTTTGGCATAATTTAACAAAGAGTAAAACTGATAAATTTAATCAACAAAAATGTAATACTTTTATTATGATATTTGGAGCGATTATGAAAAGAGTTAGTTATACTAATTATTTATAGAAGCCGTCTATCGTGGTAGCTATTTAACATATCTTGTGGCTATCATCATAATTCAACGTTAATATCATGTTGATTCTCAAGTTTCTTAATGTAGTATATGTAAAGCTAGCATGGAATTTCGTTAAAAATAACGTAGTTTGGGTTCTTTCTATATTACTGTACCAGAATACGTATCCTAAGATAAATAGTAAATTAAAATGGATCTGAATCAGTAATAATTAAGACTAGGAACAGAACACCTTAGTAATGGACTAATAGCTATGATAAAGATACTGTTTCAAAATCTAAGAAATCAGATTATGCGTACTAGATAAATATCAATTCCGATATATAAAAAAATATAAATTGTATTATATAAGTGTATCTGAATCGGTTATAATTCAGGCTAGGAGAAAATCACCTTAGTAATAGATTGATGGCTATGATTAAGGTTTTGTTTTAAAATTTAAGAATAACGTTATGCGTACTCATGACAAGAATGCATTCAATCTAATTTCAGTCAGCTATCTAACTTGGCTTCTCTCTATATCTCCTTATAGTTCCATTTAATAACAAGAGTGAGCTATATTTTAGAGTACAATTACAGACCGAGACTAGTTGATATGAAAACTGATGCGTAACCCAGTAGCTACTAGCTAGCAACTAGTAAATTCAAAATTGCAACCAAACAGTGACTAGAATCTAAGAATGGAAATTATTTATCTGTCCTATAAATTGGCTGCAAGTGATATTTGGATGCTATAAATTAAAATGGAGAATTATGAAATCGATTAACGATAATTTATTCCATACTTCAGCTCAGTAGAATATACTAAATTTATATTTTTCATCGTGATTATCTTTCACTAAAACAGAGGAATGTGATAATGGATGGACAAAAATTAGTAATCGTTGTTTTAAACCTTCCGAAGGATCGAATACTTTCGATAACGCTCGAAGAGCCTGTCAAGGGTTTCCTGGTGGCGATTTAGCAGTTGATGATTCCTATGCTACTCATAATGGTTTATATTTTATATTACATGTTAACGTACGTTACTGGATTGGATTGAAAGATTTAGTGGGAGATAACGTCGTCAGCGACTATCACTGGCTAGCAACCAATCAAAGTGTTACTACTGGTCCACAATTTTGGATGTCCTTATATCCAGCAAATAAATTCTATAGATGTGTGCACCTAGCTGATATCTTATTATTGTTTATCTGGCGTGATGGCAGTTGTAACGATTTTTATCGATATGTTTGTCAGAAGCCAATTGGTGAAGTTTCTTCTTCAGTCGCTAATAGCATAACTTCAACAAGTTCTACAGCTTCTACTATCCAACTAAATTCTTCACTAACATCATCTACTTTATCTAGTAACGTCATTGCTTCAACGTTAGCTATTGCTAACTTATCAGAGCAACTGGCTTCGATTTCTTCGCGATTGGATGTTAGTACTACCAAACTCAATTCGCCAATAGCATCATCTACTTTATCCGATAATACTATCCTTTCAGCAACGACTTCTACGAGCCAGTTAGAGTTAACAACCTGGACTAATTCACAAATTGGCGTTGCTACTAGCGATTTAAATCTTTCATTGCCATCAACTACTATACTCAGTAACTCTAGCTCTCCAGTATCCACTATAACCGAGGAATTAGAGTTACTCACTCCTACAGCTTCGAACATTCACAGCTGTAGCTCCGGTTTGTATGAGAATCTATTAATATCATCCGCTTCCTCGTCAGTTTTCTCCGTTAATAATAATCTAAATATCATTTTAACGACAAATACTGTATTAAACAGTGAAAAAAATTTCACTGTACCTACTTATGATCTAACTCTATCGTTTAGTTTATCAGTTAATGATTTGGCTAGCAGCATAACAAAAACTATGACGGCCAGTGGACTGCAATTGCTAGTGTCTTCAGGCTCCAGTATCAACTCTAGCATTTATGAAGATAGCCCGTTAGTATTAACTGTTTCATCGTCAATTTCAGCCATAGATAACCAAATTATCAGCTCAATAGCAAGCAATGCTTTTAACGTTATAACAGTAACAACATCGAGTGGACCACTTCTTCCTGTTTCTACTAATTCAAATTTTAACAGAAAATCAAACGCATTTAAGTATTCGTTGTCATCATTCATTTTATCGCCGACTATGGTTGACATTGTGAATACTGATTCGACTACAACAACAATCAAAAGAGATGAAGAGAGTTTAGATACTCATAATTGGTCAGTTCAAACTAGTTTATGGAAGGATAGTAATTCTGATATTATCTTGATAAAAGGTACTGGTATAATGAATCAATTCCAGTAGAGAGTTTCTATTACTTTCGAATCACATACTAGCTCAATTACAAACAGAAATTTATTGATTTGATTGATAACGAGAAAAAGTAGTTCTTGCTTTACTAAATATCAATTTTAGGCCATGCACTTGACATTTCATTCCTACTTTACTAGATAATATTGGCACAAATTATGTCTCTATTACAGCTACAAGTGTAATTGATGAAAGCAGTGCCGCTGTCTATCAGCGCTTATCGTCAAATTCGATACTACATGACAGCTCCCACTCAATTGTCGCAAATATAGTAACTATTAACAAATCAATTTTGTTAACTCACACCCTATCTGATTCCGATCTTAGCTCATATACGCCAGAAAATTTATTATCATCAAGAACAGGTATGAATAATTTATTTACATTTCAGTTCTATTAGAACATCACATTTGATGCCGTGTTATATTATCGAATAGTACAAAATGTACTTAAATAATCTTCGATCCAATATGTTCTTCATTACGAATGTAATGCTACTAGTATACATTAAGAACGGTAATGAGTTCAAGCTTCATTGCATTCCAATCTCATTTCTATTCAAGCTTTGCCGTCTTTCACACTTTGTATTAGTACCGTATGAATAGAATTATGTATAAATTCTATCAATAAGATGTCGTTCGTAAGTACTAACTACAATTATTACTTCAGCTAGCACAAATGATTCATCTTCATTAATATCCTCCAATAAAGGTAACCATAAGATTATTTACGGCTAATTGAATTCAGAGCTCGTAGTGTATAAATTATATCTTTTATATGGTAGTTGATACTATTTCGTAATTCCGTTAATTTTTCACATTATCATATCCTCGATAGATTTATAACTCTAAGACCGATTATGATATACTTACGATATCCTAAATTTAAAAATTAGCAAGAGCAATAAAGTTGTTGCTATAACCATGATAATCTGCATACTATCGAATTTTCAATCCTATTTCGAAGGTCATTGTAATAAAGACTGAAAACGGAGTCTTTGACTATGAAAATGTTCTTATTTAACGATAGAGATAGTATACAAAGTAATATTATTCATAGTGCTACTCTGCTGAGGCGATAAATCGTCATCTTTGCACTGTGTTTGATATAGATTACTATAGAAAAGTTAACTATGTTCTTTTCAATACTATCGATTGGTGTAAGATTTTAAGATTTTACACTCCGACACTTAATAATTTCTCTTATACTGCACCAGTCGACTTAGATTATGCATACCAAAATGCGAGTAACGGTCTAATCTAAAGAAAGGGTTTGATAGCTGTAATGTAACTTGGTATTGTGATTGTAGACTGTTAGCCATGCTTAGTGTAATGTACGGTAGATATTTATCCTAAGAGATATTTGGTAGCTATAACTATAGACTGTAGTGGTATAGACTCTATTCTAGAAAACAGATGACTATATACAGTAAGGTGTTGAGTTACTAATAAGGTTATAGGTAAAAATAGAACCGTAAATCATATATTAGGATATGGTTAATTCATTGTACTTTGGCTGAGGTGAATAATGTCTACATAAATACTGTAGTCGTATCCATATCGGATTAATGATGGTCCGCAGTAGAATAGTGGAACTAAGAATAGTTTAACTATGTGTAAAATAAGGTAAAAGGTTGCCATGCGGATTGTAGCTGCGAATGCTACGAAAAGTATAAAAGCATGCAACTTTAGATTATTCAGTTAGTTCGTTGTAGAAGTCTTTAGTAGTAGTATTCGGCTAAAGTAGAGCTGTGTGAAGTTAATCATTGTATAAGATTCAATAAAGCCCTTATTTTTCTAAAATTTGGAATTTCGTGATCGGTATATATCACAATAGCTTTTCTAAATGAAATTAAAAAATTGTAGCAGAACCCTATTTTCTAACAAAGGACTTTTGTAATAAGTTAGTAGAATAGCACACTCAAAATTTTCTGAATTGAAATATCAACTGCTAACGCTCACTATAAACCCACTTTAGTCGTATAAAATTTTTTCTAATACTTAGCTATCAATTTGTTGTGTATATTATCGCTTTTTTATTCTAACTCGGGTTATAATATATTTGATAGTCACAGCAAGCATCACATCAAACCAGCCACCATTATCGAATAATGGAAGCTATTTTGCATATCCTACGAAGATCAATAAAATGGTTATTAATAATGCATTTGATGTCATTTAGTATAGGAAAGAGAATACCGCATATAAATTGTTAGAAATAAGATATTTGAGCATGAGTCTATTAACAGCAATTTATTCTAGAGTTTTTGCATGTATCATGATTTTTGACTCTTTAGAATATGTAATAATAATCTGTCAGTAGTTAAATCAAGATAGCTGTGATAATGAAGTTGAATAATTTGTTCTATAATTAGATTAGGACTTAATTTTAATGTGAAAGCTAAAAATATTGGATGCCTTTGATATATAGATTAATAGGATACAAACGATTTGCAACCAGCTTATTGCAAACTTCATCAATGGTGTAGATACGGTAAATAAAACGTACTTGAATATGCCATAGGTAATGATGCATTTTGAAAATTCTCTGTTCGAACTTTCAAAATTCATAATTTAGTTTAAACTACCTCCGAAAAATCAGTCTCTCTTTACTGGTTTAAATGACGTGACCGCGTACTTCTCAAGTATCAGGATATGTAAAATTCAAAATGGTTGACTATTACGCAAGATTCATCTGTATATCTTTATTTAGAACCCTGGCTTCATCTTTGAACAAATCGATAAATTTGATGCAGATTTAGCAAGAGAAATTCACCAAGCCAATATTACTATGAGGTTAATCATATCGACACCCGAGTCAGGTACCGATAATCATTTAATATAATATAAATGTCATCAAAGCCATGGTATTCGCATACTACAAGTAAAAAATTTTTTAAAATATCAAAAAGTTTCTTTAAATATTACGGTACCGTCTATAGATCATTAATAAATGGCATTTCTATGCCTAAAAATAAATTTCTTAGTGATTTATGTGATCTTTAAGTCATTATGGAACTGGTTGTATGTTGAATTTAGATGTACCAACTTAAAATAATTCTATCAAGTGACTTAATTATCCTAGCTCTTTACTGTTGTTTTTATTATTTAACCCATTTCTGCTTATTACTTTTCTTACTGTGTTAGAATTAGTTATTCAAACGATTTCAGCATCGGACACTAAATCAATCGTCAACCTCGCTTTCTCATTATCTAATAAATCTGTTGCGAAAGTGATGATTCCTAAAGCGGCTTTTCGTTTTCTGGGTCAAGGTAACGAACACTTCTAAATATATTCTAGATATGAAATATCCCAGTATCTCCCTTATTAATAAGAAACATTAGTAATATTTAAAACTATCATGTATAGATAATATTCTAGCTTATTCGCTAATGTATCTTAATTGACGCTAGAAAAAACAACCAGGCAAACAAGCTGCACTTAAATTATTCTATTACCACACTTAACAACAGAGCTCTTGCTTATAACTTTATAAATATTTTTTTAGATGATACTGTAACTTTGGTAGTACGATCGTATAATATCCGTAATAATTGGACGGAAAACAATATTTCTGAAAATAACGACAGGTGTGGTTCCTGTACAATTAATAAACGTAGATCGATTATAATCTTGTAAAATTTTCTATCCTCTCAAGTCATAAAAATTTCATTGTGTTTAATGTTGAAACGACGCTATAAAATTTTCGTATAGTGTCATTATTTCCAGTGTTTTATCTTGCTCCGTTTATCCGTACAAAGACAAGAATTTTGCTTTGCCTGTTCATCTTTACCTCAATCTACACCATCAACAAGTTAGTAACCTAATTAGTACAATACAGTGATTATTTTAATATTGATTCATTAATAACATTATGAGAGTTATCTTTTTAGCGAAATCCACCCTATCGATGTGCATATTGGGAAAAAACGTAAGATAAACTAGCTACCTGAATTACCTACTTGTATCGCAACAAACTAGAAATGTTAGCATTTAATCTCAGGATCAAGACTTGCCTTATTAATATATTTCTATGTATTATATACTGTTCTTATTTTATTAATGCATTGCCACGTGGTAAAGTCGATGGTCAGAATATGGAATGAAATTAAAAGATTATAATTCAACCACAATTCACTGCATAACAGTTCATTTTACGAGTTTTGCGATCCTTATGCAAAATTCTAAGGTAAAAATTCAAAATACTTGATCTTATAGATAAATTAGAAATAGTTTAAACGTGATAGGAATTGCCGCGAGCTGATTTATACTTAAATATACTCATTTTGATGCATATTTAAAACTCAATAATATATGTTAACGTAGTTGATTATGCTTTGGCTGTAGGCTCTTACTGAATTCCATGATACTAACCTTCGCATCATTACTTATATCGGCTACTCTATTTCACTATTTGCTCTACTGATCATGATGGCACTAATAATTAGCAGCAGGTTAGTAGGATAGTTAATAAATAGGCTATCAATATAGATATTGGATAGGCTTAATATTAATGTAGCATATTGGCTTAATCGTCGGTTTCAGATAAGAAGTAATTTCTTTGCTAATTAATAATAGATTATGCTGAGAGCATAGACCACAAATTCTTTGATGACAAATATATTGTAGTGCGATCTAGTTTTAACAGTTTATCCAAGTGTTACTTCTAAACATTTTAAACGTTAACAGTCATGAGTTAAAAGATCTTCTCTAAGTCTGTAAAGCAAAGCATAGCGAGATATACTAGCAAGTAAGGGATCTGCTAAGATAATAATTGTTAAACAGTAATTGGTGCAGCACTAATGACGACAAGATTGAGATTGTAGAATTGAATTGCCTAGAGAAATAGAGAAGGAATGCTATAATTATAGATATCATAATTATGGATCAGTGAGGCCTATCATATCATCAATTACTTCAATGCATAGTAGCTGCCTATAAGTTATTTATGCTCGAAAATATAAACATAATATAGAAAGGAATTATAATAAGTCAAAATAATGATTACAAGTAAATCTAGCAAGGGTTAATTAGATATTAGCATAAATAATTGTATTCATGGTTAATTTGCCCAAATAATCGTAAGATGACATTATTCTTGCTGCTGATAATACAATATTTATGAAGTAGACTATGAATATCACCTAATATTTGTAAAATTCTTGACAGATCTATCTTGATCTATACTAAATATCGACTAATCTTACTACAAAATTTTATCAAGACGAGTTTACTAAAATTTTATATAGAAAATTGCATACGGTAAAGAATTTTATTCACCTTAATTTGGCTTTGGCTATGACACTATCTATTTGTGGATTCATAAGTGGTATACACGCTACAAAATTGCCGGTAATTCATTTCTAACTGGAAAGATACAGATAAAAAATCGTTAGATATCCTAGAAATCATACCGATTAATTCATCAAGTAATCAATTTATTACTGTAGGCAATTATTAATATGTTTATAGCATAATATATATTTGAAGAGATTAATATAGCCCATCTACTACAGATAAAGCTATTTATTATAATGAATTTAAAAGATATTTGCTATGGTAATCTATAACCCATGCAAATAATATGACCTCTTCTAGACGTTTATTAAGTTATATTTATTATCTTAAGTAGTCAAAAGCTGATCAATTTAATTCGTCAAAGCTGCTATCATTACGAATAAAATAATAATTTTTCGTATTCTTTTAGATTCTATGTACTATCATTGCCATTGGATTACACTTTCTCTATTTGGCTAGCTTAACGTGGATGATGATGGAATCTTTGCTTATTTTTCGAAAAATTTCTAAGATACGAAAAAATGTGGACCTAGGAATTCGACGAATATACTTTGTTTTAGGATGGAGTAAGTGCTTAGAACTCAATTGCATCATTTTCTTTTAAGAGTTCGCAACTACTATCGTTTAAGTATTAATAGTCAATATTCTAGCTTTTGGATATTTTTACTAACTAAGGTGTGGTCATAACATTGACAGACAGTTATTTTAGAAGTTGTCCCCTCTTAGCTATCAAATAAGTATCATTCACTGTTCCAAATGCTCATGTTACTTATTCTATATATATATATATTATCTTTCCATATTCTATCCAATGGCTTTTAAACTAGTGTTGCCTGCCATAATTGTTGGCATATCTGCATCTACGGGGATAGATGCATATCGTAATCCAAATTAGTAAGTTTCAAATACCAATATCAGATACCGCAGATTATGCAGTTTGGTTCGATTAATTTGGACATAATAACATTTATTGTGATAGTTGCTGGATTAGAAATACAAGCGCTCAAATGTGGTTTTTTGTTGGTCCAGTTATATTAATTATGATGGTGAGATATTAAACACTTATTATATAAGATGATTGAAATGTCGAAGAACTATTCTTTGTCTAGCTTGATGATTAATATTCACTGCCTCTCTTGAATGCTTTATTCACTGTGTATGATAATGAGTATCGCTGATCAATCATTCTTGTACGAATAATGTTACTTTGGCTATAGTTTTGATTTCTTAATCTACGCAAAACACTAGAATTGTGAATGGATTGATATTTTGTAGTTGCCCCATTTAATATTACCATTGCAAGATGCTAACTTGGGTTTATTGTAATATTCTGTTCGCTAAGCAGAGTTTTAATTTTACTTTCTTAACGAAACTTTTGTTAGTGTAACGTTGTCATTATGACTTTGGCAATCAAATCGCTTTTCTCAATCAAGGCTATGGTCCGAAAATCTGAAATGCAAAAGTTCAAGTACAGCAAAGAATTATTCCTTGATTCAATTGCTAGATATCTACAATGCTGTTATAGTGCTGAATTAAGCAGTTGTAATTATAATTTAGAGTAGATATACGAGGAATAAATCTCTTACTGTATTCTATGATTGTTGCTTTATTTACTGCAATTAAAGTATTTTACTAATAGTTTAGTGAGCTAACAACTAATATGATGATTTTAATCAAAATACTCCTATCCTTCACTTGTAGAGTTGGAATAAAAGCAGTGGCTTCGTTAATCTTCCTCTTTGGTATTTCTTGGCTGTTTGGGATCTTGTACTATGCAACCAGTGAAACCGTATTTGCTTACTTATTCACGATTTTAAATTGCCCACAGGTAAGTGATCATGTTTCTTGAGAAATAAATCAATTCTAATTTAGCTACTAGCTCTTCTATCCTTGAAGAAGACAATTTGGTGTGGTACGGTAAAGATTAATTTGACACTAATGATAGTATCTTGACTTACTTTTGTACGAAGGGGTTGTTAATCTTTTACTTCCATTGCTTTCGAGATCATAATGTAAGTTTTAAAGATTAATTTTAGTTATTATTGTACATACTGTATACCTAGATTCAGCTATGGAATTAATAACTTTTAATACATTATTTTGCGACTATAACTAGATTACTAAGTAGTGGCGGATAAGTAGGAGTGCTTATTATAGCAGTGAATTGATGATAGCTAAAGCTATTAGGTTACGGAATTAATTCTATTGATTTCAGATGCAAGATTATATTCGGACAAGGTTTAATTTCGTCAATTCGATTTTTCCAACCCGATCTATGGGCGAAGCTAGTAGAGATACGCGGGTACAAATGGCTATTCTCGTAAAATATCTTAAGATAGCTGGTTAAGACATAATTTTAATTATATAATAAAATTTAGATGCTGAAATATTTTGCATTGATTAATCTTGATTAATTTACTTTAAAATAAAGTCAGCATCCAAAAGTAGTATAATCTCACGTAAGCTTTCGTAGTATGTAAGATTTCATGCTATTCATTTTTTTGCAATCTTTTAAAATAGGATGAAAACACGCGTTATAGGCGTGTTATCAAAATACCTTTACTTCCAGTTTCTTCAGAGAATGGATCTCAAGACTGCGAAGTTATTCCACAAGATCCGATTAGTCTTAATAAAATAACAGGTAATCTGATTTAGCTCTATTCATTCGTTTAGGTATGCAGTAGTTATGAAAGGCTTAAAATAGTAAGAGCGTAGCAATTGTTACTGAATGCTGTAGAATTATTGCTGATAAACACTTGTGAAATATTTAGTAACTTCAGGATTTGTAAGTGTTCGTTTTAATTAACTCATCAAATTATATTTTTTAATTCTATTGTTTGAATCATTACCTTGATCAGGAACATATCTATCAAAGAGGTTAGTTTAAGTAGCTATGCCATTTTTTTTGATTTTTTGGCTGCAGAATAATTGCGTTAAGTTATGACATTCATTTTAAGTTTCGATTGTTACGAGTTATAAATAACATTGAGAATTTTCTGAAGTATGTATCTAACAATACTGATGATTACCTAATCATTTTAGGATTAGTGTTGCCACCTTGGCTTCGACTTGCGATCATGGACCATACCGATTAACTGAAAATACAATTCCTGTTGATCCTTGAATAGTATTTTCATTTTTGAAGATATTATGCAATATATTGAAATTTGGTCCTAAAAAATTGTTATTTTAGATAGAAAAATTTAACTTTTAAATTATTCCCGTGTGTATTATTCAATACTGTCAGCGAATGTGCTAGCATTGCCGCCTTGGCTTCGGCTTGCGCTCGTCATATCATGCAGATTGACTGTTGTAATAAAGTTTAAATCCAAAGAAAGTGTCCGCGTATAGTAATTGCTTTTATTTGAATTTGCTGGGAATATAATGTTAACAAAGGATAAGAACTAACAAATTACAGAAAGATTTCACTTTATATACAACTTGCAAGACATCATCTACCATCTTACAAGTTACCAGGGTCCTTCAAAGTCAACCCGAAACCTGACTTGAACCTTACTCGAGGGTGGATTCGGGTTAAGAATTCCTGTGGTAATACAGTATTTGTATAGCGATTACACTCATTTTTGGGTTAGAAAATCAACAATTTGATCGTGTTTTATCGGGTTCGGGTTGCGTTTTCACTCCTTTACAGGACTCCGCAAGTAACTATAGTTTCCTAATTCATTCAGCAGGAGCTTCTACTAACAGATTGGATATCTCTCCTAATATAGGATCTCCTATACTAACGTCAACAGCTATTTTAAGTTAGTTATAATCTCGCTAATGCTACAAGTAGCAGGAGTAACTACAAAATTATTATGTATTACTTTGACAGCAAGTGCGCTCATAAGCAATGGTAACAGTTCTCTTGCTGATAATTAATCAGTCATTATTGACTTGTTTATTGATTCATAGTAGTTATAGAGTCAGTAAATGAACAACGGTAGCTAATAGATCATTTTTTTGCTTCTACAAACTCGGTCTTTTTTTGAGTCTCAGTATATATAGGCAGCCTTTACTATCCAGTTTTCAGTCAACAGTGGTTCTAATAGCAACGTAATAGCAACAACTAGTAGATTATGGTTATTTGCATTCAAGTTTATATTAAGAAATAATAATACAACCTTTAAGATTAAGCAATTATTGTTAACCTTGTCAAATTTTTTGTCGATTTTAATCCATTCTTTATGCAACATATTCAATTGGGCTTTCAAACGCTTTTCAAATTAGCACCCTTAGCTATAGTAGACGCCATATCAGAGTATATTGGAATAGATGCATATCGCAACCCAAAATAGTATGTTCCAGATACGAATATGCGTATGTGATATATTTCTATTTCGGTTACTCGCTATGAATGACAACCATGATTGCGAAAGTTGTTGAATTGGAATGCAAGTCCTCTAATATAGCATTTTGCTGGCCCAATCATTTCTAATTCTTGTGGTAAGATGAATCTGATGATTTCTGTTATGTTCATGTTATTATGTTTACTGCTAATGCAATGACTAAGTGGTACCTTTCTATGCAAAACCTGTAACTGAACGACCATCTATATTTGTTCGTTAGAAGTTGGCGACATGCAGCTGAAAATATACAATTTTCATATTTTGGTCGTTCGTCGTTTGAATCCAATAGCCTTGTAATGGATGCAAACATACTTCCTGACTACGCAGCCAAGGGGTTAAAAGAGTTGATAACTAACTAATGAGATACAAACGGCAAATTACCGCGTACGGTTGTAACACAAGCTGCTCATTTAAAGCAAGCTTTTAGTATTTAATATCAAGATTTAGATATGACTCCCGATTTAGTATAATTATCTAAACTTGGTAACTTGTACTAAATATGAGTGCATAAAAGAGACAGTATTTAAGGCTGTGAGAGCTAAGTACGAGGAGGAGAGTTGGCGAAGACTGATCTGGTTACTTGTTGGTAAGATATCCCTATTGATTTAGTTATTGTTTAGTTACTCGTTGGTAACTTCTATTTCCTGACTAATGAATTGAATAGATAGTCAGATCTAATATAATTAATTACTATATCCCAACAATATCTACGTATCATAACTAAAATATCCCTTTACTGCACCATTTTGTTGAACTAATAATTAATCAATATTGAATGCTTCTCTTGAGTAATTACTGCGCTATTTATGATAAAGGATATCAATACTCAGATATTCTTGTATAGAGAATGTATTTTCGTAACCGTTTATGATTCTTTAATCTGTACCAATATCAGATTGGTATTAAAATTGATTCTTTTAAATACCTAACTTAATAGTATAGTATAAAAATAAACTTGAATTTATTATAATATCTTTAGCGATTCGTAATGTTTTAATATCTTTCTCTAAGAAATTTCTTAGTGTAACCTTGGTGTTACGATTTTTGCTATAAAATTCTTTTTTCTCTATTACGGCTGTGGTCTCAAAATCTGAAATTCAACAGGTCAAGTATAGTAAAGAATTGTTTTTACAATTCAATTGCCGAGACATCCATGATATTGATAGGTACTAAATTAGAACAGTTTCGCAATTTTTATCGCAATTACGACAATTAAAGCACTTTGCGTGTAGCATAGTAGCATTCAGCATATAATTTAATCAAAGTATATTCTTCTCTTGCAAAGTTGAAATCAGAGCTGTTACTTCATTAATTTTTCTTTTTGGTATATCTTGGCTAATTGGTATCGTATAGCACACGACAGATAATATCGCCTTTGCTTATATGTTTACATTATTGAATTACCCACTGGCAAATTTTCATTCCGATACTGTATCAAGTGTAATTTTATTTCTAGCTTATCCAAAAGGAAGGGTATCAGGTTCTATAATATTTGGTTGACACTAATGATAATATTTTGGGTTGTTTTCATATAAAGAGCTTGTTAATTTTTTACGTTCACTACTTTCGAGATCGCGATGTGAGTTTTCGATGACTGATTTTAGAATTATTATTACACGGAAAAATATATTAAGCTTCAAAAGTATTCATTAATAACTTAGCAACATACTGAGTGTAATCGTGCTAAATAATCATAGTGCGATATCTGCTATAGCAATATACATAGATGGTTGTTAGCAACATTAATTTATATCATATCTAATTTAACTGATTTTAGGTGTAAGGTTACAGTCGAGAAAGATTGAAACTCAGTACAATGATACTTCAAAACTAATCTGATGGAGAACCTAGCAGAGATATACGAGTACTATTTGCCATTCCCATGTATTATAGGTTTCTAAGATAGCTGGCTTTATATAAAGTTTCAAATCTGTAATTAATTATTTGTTTGACTATTGAATCATTGATATTTTATATTAAATAATTTAAATCTAGAAGCTATTATCAATGTATAGCATACAGTAACTTTACGTAAGATTTCATGCACATAATTTGAACTCTTTATCCATTCTCTAAATTTATTCATAGAATAAAAATGTGCATTCAACTCGTAGTATTAAAATACAACTTATTTTAGCTTCTTTGGAGAATTTGCCGTACGACAATGGAGATATTACACAAGATCCGATCAATTTAAATAAGATACCACATAATCTCAATTAGTTATACTCATTCCCTTGAGAATGGTTTATTAATGATTTAAAATGATAGCCTTGTAGTGGCATCAATTACTGCTTTATAATATTGGTCAATAAATACCTCGAATATTTAGTGAATTCATAATTTATGAGCGACCCTTGCTAATAATTTATTAAATCATATTTTTCCTTTCTCAATCCAAACTAATGCATTTGATCAGAACTGCATTCATCTAACGAGTTTGTTAGAGCAGCCATTTGGTTAGTACCGTAAGATCAATTGTATAGCATATATTGAAGTTTTCTAGGACTATATGAATTAGTTGCATAATGCTTTCTACAAACTATCAGCGTTTATTTGATACTTACCCCGTTACCCTGATAATTATAACTGATTTGTTAACATTTTTCTTAAAATACGCCTATCATTACTTTAAATACCTTATTCATCCCCAAAATAGTGGTTCTACCTTAGCTTCGGCTTGCGATTAATCAATTACGTCAGCCAACCATAAAAGAAGTGAATATTATCATCATTAATTAATGTTATTTTCATGTTACTTGAAGACGTAATAACAACTTGGGACCATTATATGGCTTTAATCCTGAATAGCAAACTTCAATTTCAACGTTATTTTCTACATTACTATTGTCTATTGCTAGAAAGTGTATTTTATAACATGTAGTGGCCTTGCTTATTTGCGGTACAAGAGGTATGAGTAGGCATACACATAGTTATAAAGAATTGAACCATTTGCTTCGCAATGCTAATTGAAATTGTTACAGATGAAAATTATATTCTCAGGTGTGGTAATATATTAGAACCAAATAAGTAATAAGCATGAATTATCTATATATAGAAAAGTCAAAATCTCTACTATGACATAACACATGTCATAGGTTACAAATGATCCCTAGAGTTAAATTGAAGCGTAGATTAGCGTTAAGAAATATTTTGAAATACGTACAGTATTATCAATTTCCGCTTAGACAATTTATTCAAAAATTTTCTTCATACAAGAAGTGAGATGATTACCATATCCTCTGTGGGGACTACAAATTTAACAGTTATATGGAATCGTTAGCGGTTTTCAAGGAGATATTTCGTGAAAGCAGTAGATAGTCGCTGCACTGTTTTGATATTCGATATGTTTTACACAGTATTTATTACAGTGTTATATACTGTATTAGAGTAGAAATATCTATGTTAGGATAATTCTGTTAGCCTATCCTTATTTAGTTAACTTCTAATTTGGATATACTGTATTTTGATATAGCACTGACTTTTAATGACAGTGACATTTATACACATACTGAAATTAATAGTTATAATAGGGAATGCAAATCATCTACTTACAATTCGAATCATTGTGATCGTAATTTACTTATGATAGATTGTAAATTATCATGGAAATGTTCCGTGATAGGACATATCATAATCTGACTATTCTGTATTAGTCATTACATGTCTATGTTCGTAAATACTGTTGTCTGCATTAAGGGAGCAGTAGCTAAAATTAATATCTAATTCAGTAAATGATTCTAATGTTAATTGTATTAACTATGACTCATGAACT